TCTGCAAACTTACTGAGGGAGACATGACACAGTCCTGTTTGCCGGCTCTTTAAAAGAGAATAAAGTGACCACATGATTTATCAGCTGGTGCAAACACATTTGAAAACATCTGCTTCCAAAACCATTCCTGTGGTCACACCACTACCAGGATTGACAACCCTTTGGCCTGGGCAAGACTAAAACAAGATGCGGTGCCAGTGAGACGATGTTCTTCTGGACACCTCCCTGAAGTGTCAGGTCCTCAAATACAAAGCCTATGTCCTGTAGTTTAGTACCTACTCTAAAGAGAAAGATTTTCATGCATGAGATCAGTAACATTCTTGCCCTCTGAGCATTCCTTACTCTATCAGATCTTTCTAAAGAAAGCTCACTTGACAGAATGTAATGGCATCATCTGTTCTCCTGCAATTTTTTGGATCAATGTAGGAAAATGAGGTCCATGGGAAGGACTAATCCCTGACCTCAGAGCTTCCTTGGTGCATTCCTTCCTAGGAATATCCTGGGACTATTTAAAGCTGCTTAAGAAATCCACCTCACTCCCACAGGGATGGTTACCACCTTTAGCATACACTAGAATTGCTTTAATGAAGTATGGCTAGATCAGAGCATAGTGTGAAGAAAAGCAGAGCAGACAACATATCAGTTGCTGGTTTCCAGGAAAGCCTGGGTGGCTTTACACTCCTTGGTAAATTCCTGTGCTAAACACTGAAGCTTGTATAGAAGCTCTGCAGTCATAGGCAAAATTGTCACTTTTCCAAACAGGCTTTATCTCCTGTTTGAGTGATTTATAGTTAAAGATCCATTTCTTTCTAGACTATATAGCCAGAAAGCAGGGTAAAGAGGATTTGAGGTATTGATTTCAAATGTATGCAAAAGCGTTTCTTTGTCAGTGATGGAGTAAAATGACACCGCCTTCTTTTGTAGCTCCAGGAAAACTCCAACCTTCAATGGTTTATCCTTGTGTAATAACGTTTCTTGATCCCTATGCCATGCTGACAGCTGCTTTTTGGGACCTAGCCATTCTACACACCAGGAATGCTCTGCTCTTCCTGATTTGTCCCTTTTACCAATCATTTCATGAGCAACTCCAACAGCCCATCCATCACTGTCCTTGGTAATTACTTCCCAGTAGTGGCACCCAGTAGAGAAGCTCTGCAAACACATCACTTGACTGATGCAGAATCTGTTGGGCGATCGTTCATAATCAGTCGGGTGGCTGGAAACCATTACTTTCCTGTTCTGGGCTGTGATTGCTAAGCGGTCATACACTCTTGTGAGATCAAAAGTGACATCATCTGCCCCTAGAAGAGAGAAAGGAAAATATTCTCACCTGCAACAAGAAGACAGATCAACCTCAGTATTTACATGCATCCTACATAACAGTGGATGTGCATCCCTACTCAAGAACAGAAATGAAAACCAATGATCACAGAATAAACCTTAATCAAAGTTCAATCCTGCAAATCAGCAAGAATGCTCAACCAAACACTAACGACTGTATCCTGAGCCTAGCGCATATTGAAACGTTTAACAGGCACAATTGCGTAAACATCCATGACAGACTCACGCACTCCAGTGGGAAGGTGAAGGTACTTGGGACCCTACAGGATGGATCTTATTCCTAATCACAATCTTACAAAAAAATTACCCTTTTGCCAATAATAAGTGGGATGCTTACCTTAATAAAACTTAAACAGTCATCTGTTCATTGTGATATGTTCTTGCATATTTTATCAGCAAAAACATTTGGTTTGTGTTTTAAGCTACAGCTGTAGTACTGTGTGCTGACTGTAAAAATATTTCTGTAGAAATGATGCATAATTCAGACAACAAATGGAGTCATTACGGCTTAACACAGAAAAGATCAGTAAGGTGCAGTAACTGCCCATACACCAACTCAGACTCTGCAGCCAGCACAAGCTACAACACAGTTTATAGACCTTCCATGAAACAGGTTTCTTACCCTTTTTATCTTGCATATGCAGTCAGATATAGTATTGCATTATGCTGCAGTAACTGATTAATTCACGGTAACTTAATTGCGTTTCTATGCTTTAGGTAAACAGCCAGATCTCCTGCTGATGTTTGTAAGTACAGTTTTCTTCAGCAAATCGACAGTCTCATAGTCACTTGAATGTTGTTATTGAACAGTCACGCTGGCTTGCATACTTACACTGAGAAAACTGGCTTGAAATCATTGGTTCTGGATTTTTAGCTGCAGACTCTGGAGACAGTGAACAGACATTTGTCTCCTGATATAAGTCTGGAGATTGCACTAAATACAAAAAAATGAAAGTGTTAAGGTACTTCTCCAAATCGTGAATAGGAAGTATTTATGCTTCTAAAGGAAAACATACATTAAATAAACCTAGCTAGTGGTTAAAGTACAAAACAGAGAGTTGCTTTTTTGATTGTATAAATTTTCAAAGGATGTGTAGGCAAACATTTTTTATCCAAAAATGTACACTGCTGCTCTAAGTGTGGTCAGAACGGAGCAGTCAGAAAAATTGGATGGGTAAAGCAGATAAGCCAGTTTCTGTCATAAAAGTGTTTACAGTGTTCTCCATTTTTTTCTGAGTATCGTGTTTCTTGTGTTACCTGCACGTGCATTTCATAAGCACAAAGTAACTTCTTGCTCTAATTGCTGCCCAAAAAGCCTGACATTCAGCCCTACAGCTTTAAGGGCCATTTCTAATTTTCTATCACATTGTAGCACATATTTACAAGACTCATTTGCAGACACTTTCTGGTATAGTTACATAACACATTGGCTTCATCATGAAAGCTGTCCTTAAAAGTTCTTGACCCACACCTCTGCCCACCGGTTCCTCGGTTTTGCTAGTAAAACGATTGTGGAGCAAAGCTGGAAACTCAATTGCTGAAATGATTGAGATAAGAAAAACCCTGAGGTAAAAATATGATAAAGTATCTGGGGTTTTTGAGAACCAGTGCAGGTAGTATTGGAAAGGGTGGGAAGGGAAGGATTGCCCTTCAGTGGCAGTGGGGTTTTAGGTCAGTCTTAAGTTGCTCTCAAAAACGCTCAGTGGTCTTTCTACAGCAGAGAGACGGTGCTGGGAAGAGGAGAACTCCATAGCAAAGGCCCTACCAGCTCTAAAGGTTTGCTTAGACACAGCTTGTGGTGGGAGGGAATTTTATGTCTGCTCTTAGCAAAGACTTTGCTGTTACATTACTCTGTATTTAGAAAAAAAAAAATTAAATGGATTATGTTTCATTCTTCATTAGTGATCTGCATGTCAGTCCGTTCTTTTCTTTTGGGCTCCCATGAAAGAACTATAAAGTAATCATGTTGTCTCCAAAACTGCAAGGGGTTTTATAATAATCACACACATGCACACCTGTTTTCTCCAAAGTTTTTGGTTTGTTTTCCAAAGTTGCAGATCTGCTTGTTTGTAAGAATGGTTCTTTCATACAAATCTTTAGTGTGGGGTCAAAGTAGTGTCAAATTACAGCAGCCCAACCCCCCCTGTGCAAGGAACTGAGTTGAGGGGGGTCACATGTAGGACCCTGCTAGATCCAGTCCCTATAAAAAAGAGATTTCAAAATAAGGAAAACTCAGCTGGTGGAAACTGCTGAGTGTACTTCTCCAAAAGTAAAATTTCCAACTTTCTCTTAAGATCTTCTACAGCACTTTTGACAACATTAAGCTTCTCATCAAGTGTAATTTTATTCATTGTTGAAGGTGAGCCTTTGTACCTATGTCTCTCAGGTAAGTTACTCTAATAATGACATAAAAGAATCAAGGGGAAGATGTAAACAATAGCAGTTATTTCATCTAGCATATCAGATGATATAAAGCCAGGGTGGAAAAACAGCAGTGATCTCTCAAAAATCTTATTCTTTGTATCGAGAGCTTCCTTTATAGGATAGTTATCTGAGAGAACTAACCTGAAATCTTACAGAAAATATGAAATGATATTTTTTCTTAATAAAAAATAAAATACTTCATTTTCCCCAAGAAAACTAAGAATGGGACTAATTTTTCTTTTTTATATATATATATATTACAATTTCCTTAAGTATATGTATGTATACACAAACTTTCTCTTTTTAAACTTTCTTCTTGTTCTAGAACCCAAACCAAAAGTTTTAAAATGTATTAGTGTGAGATCTAGCATAAAGTACCCACAAAAGGGTAATCCTCATTTACCTAAATTTAGAAATTGTGGAAATCTACATCTGAGCTTGTGCTCTTAGTCTGCCTTTATAGTCTGTGGAAAGAAACAGGCCTTTTGAAGGCTTGATTGATCTCATTTGCAGGTAAGCATCTCAAGTAGGCCAGATGACTCATGCTCTAGAAGTACCCATTTCTCTTCGTTGCCTGTAATGGGACTTTGGATCAGATATAAATACATAGTTACATGAGGTGAATTCCAATGTAGGCCCCTGTGCCTTGGCCCTGGAAGTCCACTTCTGTCTCCTGGCACCATCACACCCAGTGAGCCCCACTCCAAATTCCTGCTAGCTAATTTGCATCATTGGAATAATTGTTTTCAACATCAAAATGGGCTCTGCAGAATTTAAAGTGCTTTAACTGCCTCTTTTGAGAGCCCTTGACATATTTTCCCCTAGAAAGTCCTTAGAAAGTACTTAATAACTTTGTGAGTTCTTTAACTTGCATACTTATGTGTATATACATATTCTGGAAAATAAAAAGGTAATAAAAGATCTTATCTTTAGATTTGACTCAGGACTGGATTTAAGCAATGCAGTCCCTACTTCACTCCAGCTCACCAACGTCCTTAGAACAAATCTAGTTCTGAATTTCATCCCCAGCCTATACCTTTTTTAGTACTTTTTCCCTCTGAATTTCTCACTCATAACTTTTTCTGGTAACAGCAACGTCTGTGGATTGGTATCATTCTCTCTATATTCACTAGAATAGTGCAGTGAGGACCTGAAAGTGCTCTGTACATGGTAGAGGATACATTTAGCTTTAGAGTTTCTACTCATATTCTGCCACCTCATTTCATCACTTACCATTTGGGCTTTGATGTCTATGAGCTCGTTCACTTCAACACAGAGCTGGTGAACAGTCTCTTCAATTTTCTGTTGAGCTGCTTTTTGCTCTTTTTCAATGAACATCAGTGTGTTTCTCTCCTGTCTTTCAACGTATTCCTTCATGCAATAGAAATCTTTAGTAATCTGGCTTTTGATCTGAGATGCATATTCCTGATGGGCAGAAAACATGGAGTTCATTGTGTTGTTAGAAAAGATGTGTTGAATATGAGAATCGACTGCCCCATCTAACGTGCTCTTCGACTGACCCCTGCAGACCAGAAACAGCTACCTTTATTCAAAGGAATAAAATATATTTGACACTATCCTGAATTACCTGCAATGACATTTTGGGCACGTTAAGGATCTTGACTATTTTATGGCCAGCAGTCTTGGCTTGACTTAGAAAGATCAATATTCCCTCTTTATGATTTGCATTTTGCATCTAAATGTTCCAGAAACGTTCACGCACGCTACTCCTGGGGTAGAAAGGCAACAATGCACAACTCCAGTGGCCTTTGTGCCAGCCAAGACAGGAGTTAGTACAGCTGGTGCTATAGTTCATTCTCATCAATAAAAACAGAGTTTTGACAGCAACAGAAGGAAACAAAAAGCAGATTCCTGCTCTGGGCTGGAAGGCTATGCTGGAGTCAATCACGTCTCCAGGTGGCAGTGGAAACAGGAGCTAACTGCAGATAGTGAATGTACAATGTGTACCTTTGCTTTACTAAGATCTTTCCTCAAGAGGTGGATGGTCTCTGCAGTCATTTCTAGTTGCTTGGAGATGTCCCGTATCTCTTCCTCCTTTAAAATGGCACATTGGACCATTTATCTATATAACACTCAAAGAAAGCAAGACAGGTTAAGCAGCAGGATAATGAAAATCCCTATATCATTGACATTAGTTAAGCACTGGATTGGTTGAGGAGGGGTCTGAAAGACTCTATTAATTCTGAGTGGGAAAAGTCACCATGAAGTCAACATGCAACAGTCATCAATTACATGTTCAAATATAATAAGCTTAAGCCCTTTGCTCGACTGCAGAGACTGAAGAAGACTTTTTAGATACGTATGTGCTAAAATAATCAAGGTCAATAGATTTTTCTCATCTCCTCCAAGTTTGGGAGTTATTTTAAGCAGAGATCTAGATTACGAACCAGTCCCATTTTGTGCCATTCAGCTGGGTGGAGCTGTAGCACTGCATAATAATGTCATGTGTCCTTTCAGGAGTCTGCAATGCTATACTGGTGCAATAAATAACACCCAGCACAAAGAACAGTTATTACACACAGTTACTATTACGTACACAAAGTTAGTTGTTACTATCGTACATCAGCTGAATACATACAGCTATTAGTTCTAGTTCAGCTATGCAGTCCTCAGTGTATCAGAGACCACCAATGAACCCCAAACACTGCTTTAGCTAAACCTATCTGCTCAACATACACGATATTGTTATGACAATGCTAATATTGGCACGTGAAATGCAAAGTATCGGGGGGCTGAAGGGGGAGCAAAAAGAAAGATAAAGTTAACTCGATCCTAGCCCCGTCCCCATGTTCATGACTAAGAAAGATAAAGTTAACTCGATCCTAGCCACATCCCCATGTTCATGACCCTGGTGAAGTATTTAGAATTGTGGCCAGAGTTGTCCCGAAGGGGTGAAGGCGGGGAGGAGCCCCGGGCTGCCTCCGGCCGTACCTCCTCCCCAGGTCACC